CGATGTGTCCGTCGGGAGAGAAACCGACGGCAAACCAGTTGTCGTTTGTGTCACTCATTGTCTGCACTCTAATAGTGACCCACAATTCAGCGTGATTTAGTTTTACAATATAATAATTTTACTAATTTTAATAAGTTCATATAATTTTAATTAATTAACACCATGTTATTTAGTGATACCCATGTTGCCAACGATAATGTGTGTCACATTTATACATTATTACCCTGCTGCTAATATATTGAACGTGGTGCAAGATACGGACCGTTACCTAGATTATTTGGCTCAACATTTGCATTATACCGATCAAGAGTTGTTAGATAACAGGCCACCCATTGATGACATGTGTATTCAAAGGTCTGGCCAACCTTACCCGGTTTGTTTTTTAATCATGTTAAATATAACACATACTTGTAGGTGCATTATTTTATATTTTATAAAGAAAATAAACAATTTTTACTAGGGTAATTGGAGTAATCAGCCAGTGCCACGTGTGATGGTTCCGTTGAAACAAGTTGATAATGTTTGCACAAATATACTACGGTAAAAAATTTTAATTAATAATTAAATTAAATTAATTTTGTAACTAATTAGAACTTAAATGTTGTAAAATACTAAAACTAAAATTACTAGATGTAATAATTAATACAATGTAAATGTTGTAAAATTTTGTAATTGCAAAGTAAATTATAAATGATATTATTTTATGGTCTAAGTTAGGTTAATCTAGATTAATCAGATTATATCCAAAGTAGACAATATGCAGACAGTGTGCAATTTTAGTTTTACTAAAACTTCTCTCTCTCTCTCTCTCTCTCTCTCTCTCTCTAAACCGATGCCATCGCTGTCCACATGTATGTCCTTATTATTACATATAATAATTATCGTTTATAATAATAATTATTATCTCTCTCTCTCTCTCTCTCTCTCTCTCTCTCTCCAAACACAAAATACAAACACAATGTATTAATATTTTTTTGCATTAAAATCTATGGCTAAATAAATAATTGTATTTAAAACTTATTGTTTGTTAAATAAAAACAAACTTATATTTAAATGTCTAAACATTTTCAGACAATGTGTTGAACACATGAGAGCACAGCATAACAGAGATGTCACACAAAACACAACTTTGTTAGACAACAGATGCACTCAAAAATAAGTGTCGCATAACTTGTTTTTCAGTGTAAAACAAACAGTAAAATAGTTATTTATCATGAAATATAATTTTGTGATTAATATAGAAAAACTAGTGTTAATTTTATAATTATTTTCCCTCATATTTAAATAGTAATCAATTATTATAATAATAAATAACTTTTAATTAAAGATTACTATTTAGAATAATTATGATAACAGTTATAAAACTTGCAATTTTTATAATACTTTTACTGAAATTATGTTCATTTAGTGTTGAATCGGAAACTATGGGTCCGATTGTTAACAATAACTATACGTTTAGTGAACCACTGGACGATCGGCACAAGTATCACATGTTCTGGACTTATGACCAAAAGTGGGTCACTATTAGAGTGCAGACAATGAGTGACACAAACGACGACTGGTTTGCCGTCGGTTTCTCTCCCGACGGACTCATCGGCGGCTCCGATATGTGTATCCTTTGGACCGACACTACATCTCACTATAAACTACAGGTAAAACACATGTATTTTAATTAGTTTTACAATTTTAAATAATAATAATTATTATTATAAACGATAATTATTATATGTAATAATAAGGACATACATGTGGACAGCGATGGCATCGGTTTAGTGGACACCAGTAATGACTGTCATCTCATAAACGCCACAAAACTATCCAATGGTTTGAGTTTTGCGTTTAAACGCGCGTTCAATACATGCGATCCAATAGACTATACAATTGAGGTAAAGACACAAAAATCCAACATTTACCCACATGTAATAATTCATTCAAAAAACCCAAATCATACATGGTGATATAATAGGAGGGCACCACAAACATGGTGTGGTCAACAGGCAGTGGTTTACTCATAGATCGGATTGATTTTAAAGCTAATAAATACGGTTTTAGGCCAATTAGGCTGATGAACATCCCGGAGCGCATATCGCCAGACCTGCCAAAAGCCAAAACCTATGATTTTCTTAATGATGATATACCGGTTCCTGTGCTGAACACCTCGTGGCAGTGCACTGTTCATCGGTTGCCCATGGTATTTTACCGAAAACACCATATTGTTAAGTATGAGCCCATTATCGAGGCGGGCAATTATGAATTGGTAAGTTTTTGTTGGTTTTTTTTGTTTGTTAAATATCTAGATTATATTTTTCTACTCTCGATAACTGATTTTGTAAACATATTTTACTTAATTAAATGCAAATATTTAATTAATAGGTACATCACATGAAACTAATCATGTTAAAAGACGCCCACTTTGATAACCAAACATATCTGGCGGTTGATTGCGATGACCAGCGTTTGCAATACATGGATCAGATAAGCGCGTGGGCTAACGGATCTAAAGTATACAGTTCATGTTTATTTAAACTAGGCTAAAATTACGATTAATTCAGCATAAGTGACATTAATTAAAATTAAAATGACTAGGCTTTCTCATACCCCGATGAAGCCGGAGTGCCAATTGGTGGCCAAAGTGGACACCAATATCTACTATTACAGACACATTACCACAATCTGGCGCTTACACGCGGCCTACGAGACAACTCAGGTTTGCGTATCCACGTGGTCAGTAAACTACGACAATATGACGCTGGGCTGCTTAAAATTGGTAATAAATGAGCTTGCTTGTACTTTAAAAAATTCAAATTTTATTGACCATCGCGTTACCGGTGAAGGAATGGACGATTTCGGTCAATTCGCTGCCCTCCCCGGCAACCGGTCGTCAGTAGACTTGTCCGTATATATGAGCGCCGAGTGCTCGGCACAGGCGCTGCCCCCACACGGCATCACTGTATTTGCCCAACAGTTTCATACACACCAACGCCGTACGCGTGTCCGCACTCAACACGTACGCCAAGGTCGGGAACTGAGCGTGGTCAATTGGGACGAACATTGCAACTTTGAATACCTGGAAATTATGCATTTAAAACACAGGGTCAATGTGTTGCCCGGCGATGCGCTCGTACACACTTGTCGTTACGATACAACCAGTAAGTGTAATGTTAATCCTATGGCATATTGTGATTGTACATAATAAATAATTATTGTAAAATATTTGTTATGCATTTTTGTTGCATTTAAAAATTAACCATGCCATTTGTAGAAAAGCCAGTTGCGCCGGACATTATGTGTAGCACGTTTTTGCATTATTACCCTGCTGTGAATTTAAAATGGGTGATCAACGATATGCATACTTACATTGATTTTATGGCACACCATATGTCGTATAGTGAACAGGAATTGCACGATAATAGGCCACCGATGGCCGAGAGATGCGACCAATTGTCTGGTGATAGTTATTCAGTATGTGTGCTATAATCACATAAATTGTTATTATGATAAATGTACAGTATATTAATTATCATGTGTTAATATTTATTTTAGGGTAATTGGACCGCAATCCCTGTGCCTAAAATAATTATACCATTACCACCGGCTCAGAAATTGTATGATTGAACATTATTTATCACTTTAAACTAGCTAAAAACAATATGATTACTAAACTACCATAATTGTACGTACAGTTGTACCAGGATTTTGACCACTGTTGACAAAACACATACAAAACAAGCGATAGATTACGTCGAGAAATATATCGAAAATCCCGTGAGATTATCGCTAATCCTTTCGGTGGCGATAATCCTATTATTTATAATAATATTTCTATCGTTTCAATGCCTAACGCGAGCGGAACGTCGGGCCGAAGCCCTCTATGCCTACCGTAAAGTCTATACAAAACGGGATTTAAATTTTGAGAAATTCCCGAACCTTTTGGCCGAAGAAAAGGTAGAGACGAAGGCATGAATTGATTGATTTAATGTTTTTGATTATGAAAAAAGAGACATATATTAAAATACAAATTAAAATAATTTATTATAAAATACATAAGTAAAAAAATGAATCTAAAAGCATGTTTGGCATTTGACTAAAAATTTAAATAATATGATTGAATCATTAATAAAACGAGCTTATTTGCTTGAACATGAATAAACGAACTATACAAGTTAAACTATTTAATAGCGTTCGTTAAAATTATACAAATTACGACTCTATAAAACTTACGCTTTACGCTTAAATTAAAAGAATACGAGTTATTATTATATAATATAGGTTAACTGATAAAGCTTTGCCTTTGCATAGACGCCGTGGAGGTAGAAATGTGAAATTAATTTTATTATTTAAATTAACATTCCTAGGCACCAGAAACCAAGTTTCATTAAGATTGGATGATTTATTAGGTTAACTGATAAAGCTTTGCCTTTGCATAGACGCCGTGGAGGTAGAAATGTGAAATTAATTTTATTATTTAAATTAACATTCCTAGGCACCAGAAACCAAGTTTCATTAAGATTGGATGATTGGTGTTTGTACTGGAAAATTTTAAACAAAGTCAGGCAAAATAATGTATTCCTATGGGAAGGTATCTAATTTTGTAATTACTGACGGTTGAAATCATGCATTATTTGATCATGCTCAAATAATAATAGAGATAATAGAAAACCCTTACTCTTCCAATATCGTCAATATGTAATGTATATTACCATATCCTATTCAATGGCCAACTCTAACCGGTGCCTGAACTGTGGCCACTTAATTATTGGTAGTCGACCCGTTCGGCGGCCTGTGTTCGCAGCCAATCGTAAACTAAGGGCAATATTAATTACAGCACTATTGACGAGATTTAACAACAGCCTATTGGTTATCACTTGTGGTTATTGGTTTAGTATTGAGTTTTGTATAGATAACATTTTTATAAAGCAATCTAAAAATATGGTCATTTTTGGTAAAATATTTTGAGCTAAATTTCTCAAAATAATTCCGACTAACACATTTTAAAAATTTCCAGTACAAACACCAATCATCCAATCTTAATGAAACTTGGTTTCTGGTGCCTAGGAATGTAAACCTAAATAATAAAATTAATTTTACATTTCTACCACCACGGCGTCTATGCAAAGGCAAAGCTTTATCAGTTATACCAATATATTAATAATAAATAATAATTATTTATTTATTATTATGACTTATTTATTTATAAGAGTTAATTTATTTTCTTATTATAAGATTTAATTTATAATAAATAAATACTAATTATTTAATGACATAGTACGATCTGAAATTTGAAAACTTTATATTTTGTATATAAAAGTTCAAAATTAAAATAAAAAATTTTAAATAATAATAATATATAATTTATGTTATAAACTAAAGTTTAAGTTGATATAGATTGCTAATTATCGTGTTGCTTTTTAATTAAATAAATTTTTATTAAATAACCTTAACAATAAAATAGCTTGATCCATAGTATTAAATATTAAGATCAGAGAATAATATAACTTACTTTTATGCAATTAATTATAAAATCGATTTTATAAAATTAAATAAGTCATCATGTTTTTTAGGTCTAAAATAAATCGTAACATGAATATAAAAATATATATTTTTATATATTAATAGAAGACATTTTATAATCAAAATTTAATTAGATTAATTACTTTTCCTTAAACTATAAGTGTCTTTAAAGTATTGATCAAAATGAATGCTATGATTGACAAAATCCACGACAATTATAACAAATTTCTTGAAAATAATAGCAGAGAAATGGTTTCGTATAAAAATATAGAAACATTTACAAATAAATATTTCATTTTTGTCTCAAAATTTGATGATTACGTGAATGGAGTGTACGATAAGAGTCGACAAATTTGGGTAATAATAGCGAGAGTCGTGTTATTAGTGGTGGGCCTGAGATATGCCGTCTCAGCGATGGTTAACACACCAGAGATGAGGGCTTTTGTGTCCGATTCTAATTATATGATTGGAAATCCAGTATTAATCTCCGCAATGATGACAATCTCGCCGTTTGTCATACTATACATCGGTATTACTGCTCAGTATTTAGAGATTAACCAAAATCTATATTTTATAAATCTAGTCAATGACCTAAAAATGAAATCACTTTCACTGCCATTAAATGAGACACATTTGCGGCGACTATTGTTTACAACAAACTTATTGACGAAATACTATTTGAATCAAACATTTTGGTTGCAAATGATTGTCACGAATGGCATTATGTTGTGGGCTTCAATCAGGGCTTATATGGATCCCAACTCCGGGTTCACAGCACTCGGTGTCGTGTTTTGGTCGATATGTGTATTCTTATGGACCGTTCAGTTGTATGGTATGCTTTGTATTTCATTAGTCATGTGGTATTTGTGTACCGCATATACTCGTTATTTATTCATAGAAGTCAATCGTTCGATACGTATTTGCGTTAAGTTTGGTAACAATATATCCCTATTTAGAGCTTTAGCTAAACACTATAGTGCGGCCAAAATGGTCACCAAATATAACATTTTGTTTAGATATATATTGTTTTCAGTGTATTATTTTGGAACCTTTGCTATTGAAATATTACTTTACCTCTCTTTTTCAAAAAATACCACATATCAGTCCCGTTTTGGGACAATATTCTTGTTTATCGTAATGTTTTCAGTCGTTTTTGCCATAAATTATATGTCAAGTCGTGTCAGTTCTGTATCCTATAAATCACTTTCCATTTTGTATACATATTTGAATCGTAAATACATTTCAACCGAAGATCGACTAAAACTGTTGACATTCATCGAGAGGTTGACTAAACACGATATCGGCTTTTATTGTCTCAATTTATTTCACATGAGTTCACTTGAGTTTGCATTTTATATTTACGCCGTTGTATCCAATTATATGTTAATTATTAATTTTGCAAAATCAATGTAAAAAACATTTATAACATTCTTATTGTAATAAATTAATATAAAAACTAATTTTGTTTATTATTTTATTAAATTTATAATTCACAATCGTGCAATCGTTATTGGTAATTAAAATTATAATTAAAAATTAAATAATGAGTAATTTAAAATGATGTACAAATTCAAACTAGTCTTTATTATTACTATATGTACGGTATAAACTTGTATATTATTAAACTATATTGAAATGAAAATAAAAATTGTAAAACAAGTGCCAACTTTTATTTGACGCTTCTATCTATGAATTCTTTAATTACCTGAAACTGCTGAACAAATACAGGCGCTGCCCCCACACGGCATCACTGTATTTGCTCAGCAGTTTCATACACACCAACGCCGTACGCGTGTCCGCACCCAACACGTACGCCAGGGTCGCGAACTGAGCTTGGTCAATCGGGATGAACATTGCAACTTTGAGTATCTGGATACAGTATTATGCATTTAAAACACACGGTCAATATGTTGCCCGGCGATGCGCTCGTACACACTTGTCGTTATGATACAACTCGTAAGTGTAATGTTAATCCTTTAGCATATTATGATTGTACATAATAAATAATTATTGTTAAATATATAGTATATTATGAATTTTAGTTACATTTAAAAGTTAATCATGCCACTTGTAGAAAAGTCAGTTGCGCCGGACATTATGTGTAGCACCTTTTTGCATTATTACCCTGCTGTGAATTTAAAATGGGTGATCAACGATATGCATACTTACATTGATTTTATGGCACACCATATGTCGTATAGTGAACAAGAATTACATGATTATAGGCCACCGATGGCCGAGAGATGCGACCAATTGTCTGGTGATAGTTATTCAGTATGTGTGCTATAATCACATCAATTGTTAACATGATAAATGTTTATTAATTATCACGTGTTTAACAATTATTTTAGGGTAATTGGACCGCGATGCCGGTGCCTAAAATAACTATACCATTACCACCAACAGTGAAATTGTAAGATTTAACATTATTTATCATTTTAAACTAGCTAAAAACAATATGATTACTAAACTATCATAATTATACGTACAGTTGTACCAGGATTTTGACCACTGTAACGAAACACATACGAAACAAGCGATAGATTACGTGGAGAAATACATCGAAAATCCCGTGAGATTATCGCTAATCCTTTCGGTGGCGATAATCCTATTATTTATAATAATATTTCTATCGTTTCAATGCCTAACGCGAGCGGAACGTCGGGCCGAAGCCCTCTACGCCTACCGTAAAGTCTATACAAAACGGGATTTAAATTTTGAGAAATTCCCGAATTTTTTGGCCGAAGAAAAGGTAGAGACAAAGGCATGAATTGATTGATTTAATGTTTTCTGATTATGTTTTTGTATATAATTTTAAGTTTAAAATTTTATGACTGAATAATATTTTATGTATTCATTTTTTACTTAGATTTTCGTACAAACCGTAAATTGATTTTTAATTTTATGAAACTAGTAATTAATAATGAGCTTATTTACTTGATGTACATGTAATTGATTGATATGTTTAACTTGATAATGTTCAATGCTGGACTATTTTGAATATGCAATGTTAATTTGATTTAATTATGCTTAATTAAATACATAAATATTTATTTATAAAGGTAGTTAATAAGTTAGTTAATAATACCATATTGATACAATAAACATACAATACGAATTTAATAATGCGTTAAATTAACAATGTTATAACTTGCAATTTATTATATTTTATTTATATCGAGTTAGGTTTGTTGGATTAGTTTCAGTTGGGTTTGATATATATGTAGGGGGAAATAAGGCACAGTAGGTTTTAGGGAAAAGCTTAATCAAACAAAAAATAATAGTTTGCGATAGGTAGTAAGTTTTTTAAGTTATAAAAATCAATTTTGTCATGTTCGACTTTAAACATATAATTTATAAATTATAAAGTACTGTATTATTGTAAAACCACATTTGGGTATATTCTTATTGAAACAAAAATAAAATATATTTTTAAAACTAAATTTAACTTTAAATATAAGACCAATGATAAAAGTTTTGATCGATTTTTTCAATTAATTAGATCAGAGAATAATATTATTTTTATATTTCAAAATTAATTATGAAACCTATTTTTATTGAATATATAAAATAAGTCACAAAACATTATATGTGCTGAAAAGCAAACTTAAATAACTAGATAATGAAAATATTTTATATTAGGTAAAAAAGAAACTAATGCTCAAGGATTTTACATGAACTCTATAGTGTTTCATTGACATTTTGAATCAAAAATGAGCATTACTTTCTTTGGGACCTGATAAAGAATTTTTATAATAAATATCAACTTATAATCTTATAATTATATTACTTTTAGTAAAATACCCCTGGTATAAGTATTTTTGTAGTACTTTAAAAGTCATTATTAAAATGAATGCTATAATTGTCAAAATTCGTGAAAATTATAATGAATTTGTTGAGAATAATAGCAGAGAATTGGTTTCGTATGAAAATATAGAAACATTTGTGAATAGATATTTCATTATTGCCTCAAAATTTGATGATTACGTGAACGGAGTGTACGATAAGAGTAAACAGATTTGGGTAATAATAGCGAGAGTCGTGTTATTAGTGGTGGGCCTGAGATATGCCGTCTCAGCGATGGTTAACACACCAGAGATGAGAGTTTTTGTGTCCGATTCTAACTATATGTTAGCAAATCCGGTATTATTCTCGGCAGTGCTGTCTCTCGCGGCGCTTATCCCCCTTTACATCGATATTACTATTCAATACCTCGAGTATAACCATAATATATATTTTATAGATTTGTTAAATGAACTAAAAATGAAATCACTTCCACTGCCATTAAATGAGACACATTTGCGGCGACTTTTGTTCATAACAAACGTATTAACGAAGTACTATTTGAATCAAGCATTTTGGTCAACAATGATTGTAGCAAATGGTATAATATTGTGGGGGTCTATAAGGGCTTATATAGACCTCAACTCCGGGTTCACAGCACTCGGTATCGTGTTTTGGTCAATATGTGTATTCGTATGGACCGCTCAGTTGTATGGTATGGTTTGTATTGCACTCATCATATGGACTATAATTACTAAATACTTAAACTTTTCATTCAATGAAATTAATCGAAAGCTAAGAATTAGCCTTAAGTTTGGTAACAATAGATCCCTATTCACAGCTATAGACAAACACTATTTTGTGGCCAAAATGGTCACCAAATATAACATTTTGTTTTGATATGTATTGTTTTCAGTGTATTATTTCGCAACGCCTGCTATAGTAATATTACTGTATTTGACATTTTCAAGAGACACCGCATTTTAGACTCGTTTTGCAACAATATTCCTGTTTGTCGTAATGTTTTCAGTTGGTTTTACTTGAAATTATATGTCAAGTCGTGTCAGTTCTGTATCCCATAAATCACTTCATATATTGTATGGACATATAAATCATAATACATATCAATCAGCGATCGACTAAAACTGTTGGCATTCATAGAGAGGTTGACTAAACACGATATCGGCTTTTATTGTCTCAATTTATTTCACATGAGTTCACTTGAGTTTGCATTTTATGTTTACGCCGTTGTATCCAATTATATGTTAATTATTAATTTTGCAAAATAAATGTACAAATACTTTTAATATTTTTATATTATTAAGCTAGTTTAAAGAACCCAGTTCTGTCCAGGCCCTTAACCCCCACTTTTTGCCCTCTTTATATAACCACATATTAAGCACATAACTACCATCACTTAAAAAGTAAATTACGAATCGTTATAAATAAATATATTGTTATAAATGGACATGAATTAGAATGACTATGATGCCTTGTATCTAGAATCTTGGAATTTTTGGCAATTATTCATTAATTATTAAATTTGTAAAATTATTGTAAAATTCAAATTGATTTGTAAATTACGTTTTGTTATAAATACATACATTTGCATAAATGAAAATGAATTAAAATGACCATGATGCCATTTAGCTAGAATCTTGGACTGATTATCATTATTTAGGATAATACTACTAGGCAACAAAATCCGAGTTGCCTCACTTCATTCAAAACATGGTTGTGTCAAAAGTACATTGTCTGGCAATAATCCTATTATTTATAATAATATTTCTATCGTTTCAATGCCTAACGCGAGCGGAACGTCGGGCCGAAGCCCTCTATGCCTACCGTAAAGTCTATACAAAACGGGATTTAAATTTTGAAAAATTCTCGAACCTTTTGGCTGAAAAAAAGGTAGAGACGAAGGCATGAATTGATTGATTTAATGTTTTCTGATTATGTTTTTTCTTTATATAATTTTATGTTTAAAATTTTATGACTGAATAATATTTTATGTACTGATTTTTTACTTAGATTTTCGTACAAACCGTAAACTGATTTTTAATTTTATGATACTAGTAACTTGATGTAATTGATTGATATGTATAACTTAATACATTATCAATAGTTTATAATATATTTATGTTCAATGCTGAACTATTTTAAATATGCAATGCTAATTTGTTTTAATTATGCACAATTACTTAAATATTTATTTTCAGATTGTATTAATAAACATAGTCTCGTGGTTCCAAAAGTCATCCATAAATTCTTATAAAACATTTGTAACTTTTATTCGTACAAACTATGTCTTAACCATTATCCGCCATTAATTCTCACTCTAGCCTTTCACACACTAAACCAATGCTTTCACTCACTCTTAACCTCAGTCTCTGTCTATTACTCGTTGAGAACAGTCGACTCAAACACTCATTCAAACTCTAACTCTAAATCTCATTCAAACTAATCCTAAATCCTATTCAAACTCGAACTCAATCTAATTACTATTCAAACGTTAACTCAATACTAAATCTAATACTAAATCAATCGTTTAATAAATCATTTAATTTGTGTTAAAACGAAACGACTACTCATTCATACAATCGGTGCCCTAACGGACACATACTCTCACACCCGCTCTCATACAACCTCTCATTCGCTCTCAAACCCGTATCGATAGTCAGTCAGCGATCTCTCGGTTACTGACATACACTCGTGGCTATCAATACCCCTCGCGTTGTGACCGAAACTCGAACGCGTAGTCATTACTCATAGACTATATCGTTCAGTGTCTTTATTGTTTGGTCGTTGTTGCCATTCAATTGCCATTATCTGTGGACTCGTTTCACTCGATAGTGACCTAACACTCGGCCACTCCTAACCGCACACAACAATAGTTTATAATATAAAAATGTAATTATGATAATTCTAAATTACATTGTGTGACCATGTATACTGTATAAATTAATTTATTTAGTTCCTCTTCAAACATTTAATGTAAAACTTTATAATAAAGCCACAGTTAGAAATGGTCTCATAAGTTGCTAATTATATAGACGTCTATTTTAATACACATTTTAAGAAAACATATTTATTTTTATATAATAATTTTAATTTTATTATTTTTAATTTAATTTTTTTAATTTTTATATAATATTTTTATATAAAATATAACCTAAATGTATGTTCATATAAATGACATATAATCGTATTGATCTAGTTTATTAATGAAATCATGAAGATCACTTAATCAATAATTATGCTAAATGTAGTCAACACTATTGCATGAAAGAATAATATTATTTTTTTAAATTCTTAATTACTAAATCAATATTTATTGAATTTATAATTAAGACCATTATAATATAAATCAAAACAACTTTATAAACTTAAATACAACTCTACATTGTTATAAACATAAGTTATTTTAAACATTAATAAAGAGTATATTATAAACTAATCTTAACTATTATTAAATAAGTAAAGTCTTTTGCACATAAACGGTGGTCTACACCAATAGCCGGCACACCCTCCAGGCCACAAAAAACTACTGGCCTCGGCTTCCCGAGACCGTGGCGAAGGCCCGCTTATACCACCCATATGGTATATACATATATCATTATAAATCAAAACAACTTTATAAACTTAAATACAACTCTACATTGTTATAAACATAAGTTATTTTAAACATTAATAAAGAGTATATTATAAACTAATCTTAACTATTATTAAATAAGTAAAGTCTTTACATTAATTTTCTTTTAATTACAATTATTATGATAGTTTTTTTTATATAGATCCCAACAAAATGAATGCTGTGATTGACAAAATCGCTGTCAATTATTACAAATTTGTTGAAAATAATAGCAGAGAAATGCTTTCCACTGATATTATGGAAACATTTATTAACAGATATTTCATTTTTGCCTCAAAATGGGACGAATACGTGAACGGAGTGTACGATAAGAGTAAACAAATTTGGGTAATAATAGCGAGAGTCGTGTTATTAGTGGTGGGCCTGAGATATGCCGTCTCAGCGATGGTTAACACACCAGAGATGAGGGCTTTTGTGTCCGATTCTAACTATTTGTTAGGAAATCCGGTATTAATCTCCGCAATGATGTCTATCGCGGCGTTTGTTGTACTATACATCGGTATTACTATTCAATACCTTGAGTTTAAACACAATATCTATTTTATAGATCTAGTAAATGAAGTAAAAATGAAATCACTTTCACTCCCATTAAATGACAAGCATTTGCGCCGACTATTGTTCACAACAAACGTATTGACGAAATACTATTTGAATCAAACATTTTGGTCGCTAATGATTGTAATGAATGGCTTTCTATTGTGGGCTTCAATCGGGGCTTATATGGACCCCAACTCCGGGTTCACAGCACTCGGTGTCGTGTTTTGGTCGATATGTGTATTTTTATGGACCGTTCAGTATAATGGTATGGTTTGTATTTCACTAATCATATGGTCTATGATTACTAAATACATTAAATTTTTATTTAATGAAATTAATCGAATAATAAGAATTTGCTTTAAGTTTGGTAACAATAGATCCCTATTCAGAGCTATAGCTAAACACTATAGTGTAGCCAAAATTGTTACCAAATATAACATTTTGTTCAGATATATATTATTTTCAGTGTATTATTTTGCAACGCCTGCTATAGAGATATTACTGTATATAACATTTTCAAGAGACACCACTTTTCACACCCGTTTTGCGTCAATATTCCTGTTTATAGTATTATTTTCAATTGTTTTTATCCTAAATTATATGTCAAGTCGAGTCAGTTCTCTATCCCATAAATCACTTCATATATTGTATGGATATATGAATCGGAAATACATACCAATCGGAGATCGACTAAAACTGTTGGCATTCATCGAGAGGTTGACTAAACACGATATCGGTTTTTATTGTCTCAATTTATTTCACATGAGTTCACTTGAGTTTGCATTTTATGTTTACGCCGTTGTATCCAATTATATGTTAATTATTAATTTTGCAAAATTGATGTAAAAATGTTTTCTTATTAAGCTAGTTTATAGAATCTAGATATAGTTGTTATTAAATGATTAACGCTGATAAAAATTAATTCCTTAAGTTCATCAAATGATTTTAATGCGATTGTTCATAAAGTATCTATACCCCCCTCCCCTTCGTTTGCAAAAGTTCGCTTTGGCCGACACCCCCTCACCCCAAGTGCGAACGTACTTTGTGAACAACGCTTTATAAGGTGATTATTAAAACATATTTATTTAACTAATCTCATTTATTATCAGATCATGATGGTTATATGACTCCATTATAAAGGATTGTATTCATAAAACTTTGCAATTGAGACTTTGGTAGAAGTAGTTTTCGATTTGCAGCAAATCCTGTTCTTTAAGTATTATTATATAATTGTAAAGATTATGACATTTATATGCATTTATAATTGATTTAGACATTCATAAATATTCATAAATATAAATATAAATGCAAAATAATATTTTTTGGAATAATTAATTTTTTAATTCTAGCTAAACTAAAAATAAATTACATATATTTAAGATCTTATATAAACCTATATATTCAAGTTTAAACAAAAAATCAATTATTGTATTTGGTCTAGTATATAAATTAAATCGTAATTAAAACTTGGTTTTAAGTCAAAGAATAATTTTATTTCATATTTTGTCATTAATTGCAAAATCAATTTTTAATGAATATATGATTAAAAATAAAACATTGTAATATAAAATTACTTAAAAAATAATGTATGAACTCAATATAAAAATATTTAGTTTTCAAAATTAATTATAAATTTATTATAGTTAAAACATTAATTGAGTACATTATCTTATTTTCTATTAATCTAACATATTTAATATTATTTATATTAAATAACTAATCATATTTATTATTAAGTAATTAAATTAATATTACTTAAACTATAAGATATTGTTTTAGTATTTTCTAGATTATAATCAAAATGAATGTTATGACTAACAGATTGTATAACAAATATAATACATTTGTCGAGAAATATAGCAGAGAAATGCTTTTCGCCGAAAAAGTAGAAACATTTGCGAACAGATATTTTGTAATTGTCTCAAAATTTGATGATTACGTGAACGGAGTGTACGATAAGAGTAGACATATTTGGGTAATAATAGTGAAAGTTGTGTTATTAATGGTGGGCCTGAGATATGCCGTCTCAACGATGGTTAACACACCAGAAATGAGGGCATTTGTGTCCGATTCTAACTATATGTTAGGAAATCCGGTATTATTTTCAACAATGATGTCTATCTCGGCGTTTGTCATACTATACATCGGTATTATTGTTCAGTATTTAGAAATTAATCATAAACTCTATTCAATAAACCTATTTAATTATCTAAAATCG